GTTTTCCACCACCATTCTCGATGTCTCTAAAGCTTCCATCCACATTACACTTGTGTCTACATCCCCCTACTCCCACTTGCCACCCCAGCCAGTTTCCCACAGTTCAGGCTTTGACTTCCCCCAACTAAACCCACCTCTCGCTCCCCCAGCCCCTTCCTCTAGTCCTCTACACCCTGCGGAAATTCCACAGACCAGATCTCCCCCCCCCCTTCACTTACCATCCCCAGCCAGTCTTCCACCAGATCAGAGCTCAATCCCCAACCTCCACCCCACTATGTATACTTACCGCTTCCAGCCAATCTTCCACAGCTCTGGCTTCAAATCCCTACACGCCACCATCGCCATCACTGCAGCCGCCATAGCCGCAGACACCATCGCCTCCTCCCCCCACCAATGCCTCCAAGGGATCTTCATCTTCACCTGCCCAGTCCTTACACACGCATTACTAACAAGCCTCCTTCTCCCAAAAAACGTTAAGTGTAAACAGTTCAAAATATTTCACCCGAGTCTCAGTCCCAAGGTTCATGGCCAGAGCCCATGCCATATGATGGCAACCTTGATTTTAAATATCAAATCTGCTCAACCATAACGTTCAAGATTGTTCACTTTAAGTACCCAGCTCATCCCCAGTCACCTACCTCCTTCTGCTGCATTCAACTTCTGCACCTCCTTTCCCTTCTTCCACGTTTTCCTCATCTCAGACTCAAGTGTTCTAAGTAGCTGAGAGACTGCGCAACTGAGAAAGACGCCAGGCACCGGACCTTTTATAGAGCTTGAGAAGCAACAGGAAGTAGACACTGAAGTACTCCCGCCTTCATATTATTACCCACCTATCACAATGTGATCACGAGGCAAATTTAAACTCCCATACTATGAACTTAAATTTGGCGCCTATATGCATTTCCGGAATCAGATGTGTATCACTTTCAGGGCTTATGGCGTATTTGTACTGAAAATGCTGTTTCATACAGAGCTCAAGAACCTGAGCTAGTTTCTGTAAAAAAAAAAAAAAGTGCCCAAATTAACTTTTTGAGTGACAGGAAAAATTTGATTTATTCTCCCTAACATAGTTTTATCCTTTTGAGACTTGATTAAGCAGACCCTGTTCCTTGCTTCAATTGTCCAAACTTGTTTGCCTGTCCTTCAAACTACTATGAGCTAATGGGAGAGGGACACCGAGACCCCTAGATAAGAGCAAGGCAACAATCAAACAGTGTCAACCACAAGGTTTGCTTTTAGAACCCTCCAAAGGTGGCTGCAGGGAGGATTGGAGAATGCTATCCTTGGAGATAAAGAGGAGGTGGTTACTTTAGAGCCTTTTGGCACTGTTTCCAAACACACACACACACACACACAAAGGGAACGGCAATGCTCCTCAGATTGTGCCTGATTTGGGGCGTTTCCCCCCCACCCCCGGCAGTCACTCACACATTTCATAATTTAAGCACCCCTGTATTTGACAATATTTATGTCATGCTAGGTACCGATCCAGGAGTCTTGGTGTGCAACTGTGGGTTAACGCGCTGGACTGCACGGTCAGCGGTTCAGGCTCATCAGCCGCTCCTCAGAAAGCCAAAACAGACTCTCTATGAATTGGGACTGTCTCAATGATATAACAACAGGTACAGCTCCAAGTGTTCTATGTAGATTTGTGTGGCACTGGTAGGGTAAGCACTGGGCTGCAAGGTCGGCGGTTGGAACCCACCAGCCGCTCCTTGGAAACCCTATGTTGTTGTTAAATGCCATCAAGTCAATTCCAACCAATAGCGACCCTGTATAAGGTTTCCAAGGCGCGAATAGTTGAGTTTGAACCGCCAACCTTGCAGTTTATACAGACTTTGCAGTCCAGTACATTAAACCACAGTGCCACACTAGGGGTCCTGGAAAGCCTATACAGGATCGCTATTTGTCAGAACTCGTTCAAAGGCACTTAAACAATTCATTGTAATTAACACTTCAACAAGTAGGTAGTTAAAGCAGTCTTATTTTAGAGCTCATCACTAGAAAAGTGGCAAAAGTTGAAACTAACATCACTAGCTTCAAAACCCAAGATCTTGACCACCAAGCTGCCTATATATGTATTTCCTGGGGAACTGGATATTATTGTCATCCAGTCTGACCTGTATAGGGTTCCTGAGGGAACCTCGGGATTTGAACCACTGATCTTGTGGTTCACAGTCCAGTGCTTATTTTACAGCACCACACCAGGAGTCCTAAACTTATCTCTATGACAAATTTACAAATTAACCGTTACAAGTCTGTTTCCACATATATAAAATTAGAATACAAAACTGTCTCCAAAATCTGTAAAGAACCCAAACATTAGTTTTAATTTAGAGGTAACAAGCTTTAAGTAGCAGAGTAGATTAGGATTGGAGTGGAATCTTAAAAACAGGCAATCCAGAAGTTACACAAAGCAGCTCCTTTAGATTGAAGACAGAAGCTGAAATAGACTGGAAATAACTGACGCAGATTTTTAAATAAGAGTAGAGGTAAGCCCATGCTATTTTCAATCACCTCATATGTATGTGAAAGTTGGATAATGAATAAGGATGATCAGAGAAGAGTCAGTGTATTTTAATTGTGATTGGCGAACAATACTGAAAGTACCATGGACTGCTAGAACAAACAAATCTCTTTTGGAAGGCCAAAACATCCTTACAAGTGGGGATGGACAGACTTTGTCTTTTGTACTTCGGATATGTGGTCAGGAGGGACCAGTCCCTGGAGAAGGACATCATGTTTGGTAAAGTGGAGGGTCAACAAATAGAGGAAGACCCCCAATGAGATGGATTGCCACAATGAGAGCAATAGTGGGCTCAAACTTAACAGCTATGAGGATGATGCAGTACTGGGCACTGTTTCGTTCTGTTGTGCACAGGGATACTCTGAGTTGGAACTGACTCAACGGCACCTAACAATAACAGCAACAACATTAATTCGGAGTTTAGATGAATAAAAGCTGTGAGTCCATGTAAATACTCTGTCATAGACAAGTAGGAATACCCATTCCATAAATCATGGAGTATGCCAACCAAAGTATTAGATTAAAAATAAAACAACAAACCATGAATATTTGTTGATATAAAATATTATGAAACTGAAGTTAAACTGTGTAACTTTCAAATGTGGTAAAATAAACTTAATAAGTTATTGTCATGTAAAAAAAAGAAAGAGTACAGGTAAGATCTCTTATGAGTAGATCTTAAGAAAGAACACCTTTCTTCTCACCCATCTATTAGGAAACAAACACTAATCCATATTAAGGTTTTAAGGACCACAATCCACAGAAGTTGAAAAGTAAATCACCTAAAGATTTTTTTTAAATTTCCACCAAATAATAGTTCGGCTTAACTAGTAAAAAATGTCTCCTTTCAGCATTATGCACTTTTAGGAACTATCTATATGGGATCCAACTGACCCCAGTAATTCTAAAGATTAGATAGGAAGCTAACAGGGGCTATGAATTTAAGTTAAACGAGGAGGAACAACTCAGAAAAGAGTGAGAATGGTTGCACAACTTGAAGAGTAACCAATGTCACTGAACTGTACATATAGAAACTGTTAAATTGGTGGATGCTTTGGCTATATATATTCTCAACATCAAAAAAACATTAAAAAAGTGTTTCCCCATTTACTCTGAGAAAACAGGCAAATCTGTTCTGATCTGATGCACTGATATGGAGATGGAGGATATCTATGAATGAGTTCAATCAACCATACAGCAGAACAAAAATAATTTAGCACCAAGAGCCAAGCAAAGAATAATCCACATTAAGAATGGACAACAAGTGTGAATGAAGCTACCGTCATCAAAAGCAAAAGAATTGAACAAGTAGGAATGGGCATGGTAGGAGTAACATGTTTTGCTTTCTTAATGGATCATATACTAAGCCCATGCCCCACCATACTATACTAAGAAAGCAGTATCATAACTGTAGTAGGACATTGTAGTCCTTTCCCGTTTTTGGAGCTGTGCAAATGTAGGTATTTCATCACTGTATGACTCTATTGTTCTATCCAACATTTAATACCAGAATACAAAATACATTAAGCCATATTAAGGGGAAATCATTCATTTATTGTTTAAAGATTGCAAGACAACATCTGGATTTCTGTAGCACAATTTATGTTTTACTTTTTTGATAAAGCACTGTATAATTAGAGGGGGGGAACAAACAATTTCCAGTAATACCTATATCTCTATTCAGAATTAAGTCTTCCACAGACATGTTACCTGGAAACAAAAGCCTGTTACAATAAGCAAAGCTTCAACCACAGCAGCTACTTTTCGTGCCAGGAAAAAGTTCGTCCCTAAAGAAGGAATGATGTGCTAAGTAAAATGGCTGTAAGGTCACACAGCCTTGAGGGCACTGGAAGTATATAATTCAATCCCACATTATGTAGTTTGTTGAGCATCAATCATCAGTTTATCTGCAACCATGCTGGCAACCTTGAACGTAGAATAATAGATAACTGATTTTCCAACCAGGTAAAAAATAAATTAATAAACCCCCTACACTGATGTTTCTTGATTTATATTGTCAAAAACTACAGAGTTCACATAACCAATCCTGTTGAAGAATTACATTTGAGAGTTCTTACTCAGATTTGGTCAGCAGTAAGAATCTTTCAGAAATTCAAGTTCTTAATGATCAATAACTTGTCAGCTAAGATACATTCAGGCATCAGCTGCAACTACAGAATAGGTGCACTGCCTCAGTACTTTGGAAAGACATCATAATTTACAACACTACTAGCAGACAAAAAAATCTGTTACTGGATAGCATAAGTGCAGTACAGCGAGACAAAACAAATATTCATATTCTGGCTTGTTCACATCTCAAGCCCTTGACACTTAGTTGAAATTCAATTAATTTTATTCCTATGGTTTGTATTTTTTTTTAATACCAAGCGCTCAAGCTCCAAACCAAGTAGCAATGCAGTTAGCTACTACTGAGGCTGAATTCATACAGACTTCAAGATCAAGTCCAGAAAGAGAGTTATATAATAATACCCTAGAAGATCTGAAAAATAATTACTTGTATACACAGATGGTCCTTCAGAGCATTTTACCTACATGTTTTTAGCTAACATGTTTTTTAATGAAAGTTATTTAATGTATTGGAGATAACTATGACTTACTGATCAAATATTTGAATACTTATACTTACCTGGGATTTCATTTCTGCTGAAAGAAATAGGAAGAACATGACTCACTTTAAAAAATAAACTTTAGAAAGGAAGGTAAAAATCTTAATCACACACTATCACTTTTGGAAGCAGCATAGAAGGGGCAGTCAAAGGTAAAACACTGGTGGAATGGGTCAAAACTAGGCACACACACACACACACACACA